CCGGATGCTACGGCGCTAAGAGGACAAAGAGGGCTAGTCAACGAGGAAGAACAAGTTGAAAGCATGGATGAGAGAGGAGAGGCGCATCCATCCACTTCTCATCTGATTCCCCCACCATTCAACCATGAGGGATCTCCGATTCGAAGCAATGATAACGGCAATCCTTCACAATAAAAGGAGGGAGAAGGAAGCACGACTCCATATCATGGCGTGCACCCATGCTATAATTAAGAAGATGGATATCCTGATTGAAGATGTATCGCCAACTTGTTAGCTCAACTCCCCCTTTCCCATTCCAAGAAGAAGAAGAAGAAGGGCCCTCTGAGGAGGATTAAGTACTATGCATCCAGGGCCTAAGTTCTATCCTTTTTCTTTCATTTTTTGCTCTTCTTTTCTTTTTCTTTAAACAATATTTAATTATTTCTTTTTTCATTTTAATTTTCGTACTTTAAATATTCTCGTAATCGTAGTAACCTTACTTATATTATCTACTTCTCATACCTATGTCTTATAATCATCTTCCTCTCTTTCTTATGCACTTTATCGTTATGAAAACCACCAGGAAGAGAAAGACCTACACTTGTGTACCTTCACCAACCCACAACCCAACCTATGGTAACCTTCATGCTCTTCTCTTTTGAATCTCCCACATTGAGGACAATGTTTCGCTCAATTGTGGAGGGGGGATGTGTGTGAATGTTTGAATAATTATCATGATTGATTGAGCCACGAATCACTAGTATCCTCCCTTGATTATGAATGTTAAACGTTGATGATTGCTTTTCTGTGTGTATGCTAGTGATTGTGCTGTGTTTGTGGTGTTGAATGGCTTATTGATTGTGTTTTGGAACCTAGAATGCAATACTCAATTTTTTCAAATTTGAGGGTTCCAAAACACCTTGTTTCTTGCAACTTCCTACTCAATATGCTTTGGATTGATAGATGATTGATCTGTTGTGTTCGCTATGAATTAGTTGCATGATTAAAGTACCGGTGTATGAGACGTTTTACTCTCTTCTTTCTCTTTGTTGATTTGATAATGTTTGTTATTTTAGGAAGAACATGTGTGCGGGACTCTCTGTCATTTTTTAAATCAAAACTTTTACAAATTTGTGATCAATTTTGAAAAAATCTTTTGAAAAAGGGGTTCATGTGAGAGGCAACCGAGCATAGTGTTTGAGTTAAGCCGTCAAAGGGATTTTCTCTTGGCTCAGAGTGCCATTCGAGGATGTGTTTGAATTCGGATAGCTTTATTGCGTCCCAACCATATTTCACTACTTACCATCCTCCAAACACCTCTCTTCCTCACAGAATTGTATGACAAGGTACAAAGCACCTTTTAGCGATTCAAGAGACCTCAATTATCGTTTGTACCCAACATGTGTGGCAACCCAATGTGGAGTGCAGGCTGGTAAGTGGTGCTCGGCCTAAGACGAATCCGCCCATCAAATTCTCCACATGTGACCTTGGTAGGGAAGGCAATGATCCATCCGCTCTTGGTCATGAGTAAGAGATGATTTCTTGCAAAGAGTTTGCAAAAGTTTGGTGCAATGCGCATCAACGTTGAAAAGGGAGACCAATAAAAGGCAACCCCTAAATTTAAAGAAAGAATAAAGAGCACCCTCAAGAGTTCTTGTGCTTAATTGTTGTTGAGAAGTCCTGTGGTGCACACCTTGAATATTCATCCCAAGGTAGCAGGTATGGTTGTCACCAAGGAGTTTGTGCTTACACAGTAAGATGATAGTAACGTTTACTCATCTCTTTATACTCTTCTTTATGCAATGAAGAACTAGAGTGCACCCCCCCCCCCCCCCCCGATAGATCTGTCTACCAAGTTGCACTGGGTTGAGTAGGTTCGCTTAGGGACAAGGAAACACCTAAGTGTGGGGGAGTTTGGTAACACCCAAATTGGTGCTATTTGGCCTTCATTTTTAGGAGGTTTGTTTCATGCTAATTCATGTGCATAATTAGAAGAATATCATCGATTGCATCCCTATTTTTTTGCTATTTTATTATTTCCTGATTTTAAGGTGCTTTTGACGATATATGTGAATTAGGTACAAGAAAGTGCACAAGTGTAGCAAAATGAAAGGAAGCTGAAGATCATAGCCTGGACGTGGAAGATCTCGGTCGAGACATTAGATCGCAAAGAAGGAGAGAAGATCGCAGCCTGGGAACCATAGTTCGCGACCCCGAACATGGAGCCCTTGGGCGCGAACTTCCTAAGTAAGCCACCCAAGAAGGAACATAAACTTTCGACGGTCGGATCACGATGATCGTCTTCCCTGACCGCGAGGAAGTTTGCGACCACAACTCACGAATCGCGACCGTGAAGTCAGCCCGCGAACTCCCAGCAGACGAAGAACAAAACGGCGATGCTTGAAGATCCCGTTCTCGAAGGAAAAGATCATTGACCGCGATCTCCCCCTACTCGGCCGCTAACCCTGAAGTCTATAAAAAGAGGACCTCTTCCCCCATTTTAAGATATTTGATTTTGAGACATAAATTTCTGGTTTAGAGAGATAGAAGCTAAAGGAAGAAGAAGAGTAGAAGAAGGAGAATGAGGAGAAGCTAGAGGAGATGAGTTATCTTCTTCAACATCAAGCCTTTCCCAAATTCTTCTATGTATCTTCCTCCCTCCTTTATGGAGGAGGCTCTTAAGGTACTAGGGGTTCTAAACCCCAAACCCTAGTTTTAGGGCTATTATGTAATGAATGAATATGTTAGGATTTTGAATGATTGTGTTTGTCTAATTGATTTTAATGTTTCATCTACTTTAATTGTGCTTGGGTAAGTCGCCCTAATCTTCTCTACTAACCTACTTGAGCTTTTACGTTGGGTATGGAGTTTTAGGGTTCGACAGGTATGTGCCATCTAGAAAATTAGGGTTAGATGAATGAATAGGGTCTTATGGTGGACGAGGAGACCGTACCCCTACCACAAGAACACCTTCCTAGATGGAACAGGATGAAACCTCGGTGTAGAAGGTGGGTAGTACCCATTGAAATGAGCTAAGTTCTTTAAACTCCATATACATGAGCCTATACCGAGGTGACAATGGGGTAGTTAGGGCATACTCGGAGGTGTGTGGATAATCACAAAGGCCCATGGAAAAGAGCTCACTCACCACATTCGCTTAACCCAACATGTTTAGTCATTTGCATGATAGACCTAGGTTAGGGCGAGGGTTAGTTCCCAGATGTACCTGCTTTTATCCTTATTTATTCTTTCTACTAGTTATTTCACTTGAATCCTCCAAAACAACCCCTTAAACCGATCAGCTAGATAACAACAACGTGGGAAGTATGCTAGGGTACCGAGACCCGAGTGAGTACGACCTTGCTTGTCACTATAGGACAATGTCATTATCGGTTAAACTTGGCCTACCTAGAATGAGGTAATTAATGATGCGTGCAAACTATTGACAATGACCTACACAAAATGAATCGATCACAAAGCGTAAAGGTCACATAAAATCCAAAGAAACGCCAGGCGTAGTGATAGTCAGAGCTATAAATTAGTTTAATGAGGCCTTTCTAGGCATAATGAGTTGTAAAGGTTATTGTTGTTTGTGGCTCATCGACATTAACTTTATACTTCTCAAAGACAGAAACCTATCTACCCTCCTCCACATTATGATCCACAACTTATGTTCACCCAGTGTATAAGATTTTGCATTCTCTACCGGGTACAGTGAGCATATTTGGATAGTCTATCTATAGCTTGTTTGTTATGCAGGTTAAAAAGACATCTTAGGAGAAGAGAACCTCAAATGAGTCAAATCAGCCCGCTTTAACTGTTCATCCCGGCCCCACATTCTAGTCCCCACCAAAAAATAGTATGGTTCTGGTTCATCCATTGATATGTTTGCTAGCAATGAGCTGCTATAATAAATGTTCCCGAAAGCGCTAGGTATAAGGCAAACATTGAGACTCTACTTAGGCATAGTATGTTTAGGTGTTTTCTAAATGTGCATAAACTTTAGAGTTTTCTCCTGGGTTTAGAATATGATGGAACCCACGAGGTACATGAGATTTTTTGAAGGCAGCACAGCCGACCAATGGAACACAATCCCATTGTGTGATGGAGGAAGCAGGTCATGAAGAATGAAGTAGTGGTCACTGTTTGCTTTGGTACCCACTTGTCCACAATGATTGAAAATGATTGCTCCCAAACCCAAATTGCCCTCCATACAATCTAAAAGCTACATTACCAAATCGCTAAAGCGGCCCAAACCACAATTTTCATCACCGACCTCCCAACCCATCAAAATATCCTACCGCCGGGGCCGATGACATTGCCCGTCGGCCGGGTAAAAGAAATAGAAAAAGCGATAGCCAGCCAATGGCCTGCCCCGTTCTACCTAAATATTCTTTCTTGTGAGCGGATCCTTTTCCTTTTTGAGATCACCGTCAAGATTCTTGCGCAACTTGCAGCAGCTAATCCCACAAATATCCAGCCGTGCGTCTCTAAAAGAGAAAAAAGAAACAGTTGCTCTGTAACTGTTAAATCGGATTGCACGCACTTATGGCACGGAATTCATAAATAACGGAGGGCATCAAAAGGGGAACCTTTTTTCAATTCTTGCTTGCAGAGACAACTTGCACATCATTAAAATCATTTAATGACAACAAGTTGACAACTCTCTCTCTCTCTCTCTCTCTATCTCTCTGTCCAACCATGATGCATCATCACTTGCTACCTAGCTGCAATTCCACAGTTTACACAGGCAAAAGATTAACGAACCAAAACACCAAATCAAAATCATAGCATGACGAAATAAAGCACTTCGAAATCAACCCCCAATTCCTCCCCGCTTTCCCTTTCCGTGTCATCTCCATCGTCGTCTTTCTGAGTTACCCACTACTGAAAATAACCAACCAACGAAACACCGCCGTGGTAAAAGTAAAACTCCTCCCAAGTCAAAGCTGGCGGTGGTGCGCTCCTGGAGATCTCTCTGTTTTCGTTTCCCTTTTATTTCCTATCCAAAATTCCGGTAACTACGTACTACTTGTTGAGCGCAAGTAACCTAACCGCTCGGCCAAGGTGTTGACGTCTTCCTGTTCTTCCCCTCCGCCGTCGCCGGTGCTCTCACTCAACAATTCTTCCCAGAATCCATCATCCAGTTCCCGATCTGATGTAGATTCGAAACCGTCCTCTTCCACTTCCTCCTCCTCCTCCTCCTCCTCCTCCTCCTCCTCTCTCTCCTTCCTAATCCCCTTCCCGTACCCTTGCATCTCAAGCGCCAGGGCTTCCAGCTCCGTCAATCCAAACGGCGATGCTCCGAAATCCAGCGGCTCCGATTTCACTGGCCGATTGCTCGATTCGCCAAGGGCATAATTGGTAGTCCTACTACCGCGGCCCTGGTCAATCGGCCGCCTCCGCTTCTTGCTCAGGGCTTCCTCCAGCTCTTTCCTCTTCCCCTTCTGCTGCGCCAGCTGATGCAAGAAGGCCGGGTTCCGAACCGCCCGGGCCAGGAACTGCATCATCTGTTGCTGCTTCGTCTCGGTTCCTTGCAGCCTCTGCTCCAGCTCCGCCACGTAGGCCTTTGTGCTCTGTTGCTGCTGCCGGAGCTTCACCAGCTCCAAGGTCAGCACCTGTTTGTCTCGCTTCAATCGGTCGATTTCCCCGTCGAAACCGAACCGGCCGAGCTCGACGGCGGCGCTGCCCCCCGATGCTTGATGATGATGAAGGTGAAATTGATTGGGAGGAACGGATAAGGTCTGAGAATGGAAAGAAGATGGATGAGGAGAAGGAGAATTAGGAGGAGCTTTCCTTCGCCGGATGTTCTTCAGCAGATGCTTGTGGCCCTGGAGGAATTCCTCGTTGCCGAATTCCCATCGCTCCGGATCAATCTTGCGGAAACCCTGTAGATCTCAGCAAAATTTTCAAAAACAAACATTATAATTTGGGAAAGGGAGAAAATATCTTTGGGCAGATAATAATATAATAATAAAAACAGGAGCTCTTCTAGCTCTTCTAGCCAATAGGAAATCGTCATCACTGTAGCTTAAACGTTGAAATGAAGCCGATTCCAGCCAATTAATCATTGCCTAAGAAACAATGAACAAACACCAGAGGAAAACACAGAGAGACGGGTGATCAATTTGGAACCAAAGGATCAATTCGCAGAGACGAGGAGGCGATGGGAGGAGGAGGAAGAAGAAGAAGAAGAGATTTGAATTCAATCGAAGGGATTGAAAGTAATTGGTTAATTAGGTTCCAGAGTAAAAGAAATGATACTCACGTAAGTGTTGAGCTGGCGGACGAAGCTGGAGAAGTTATTGTGCTTGAAGAATCGAGGGAGGAGGTTGGTGGAGAAGGAATGAGGATCCCAGACCACGAAGCTGGTGCCGCCTCTGCTCCACGAGACGACGTGATTTGTGATCGGATCGTCCACCATCTCGAATGTCTTGGTCAGGAACGGCGGCGGCCCGACCTCGTGGAGACCTTCGATCGGCTGCGGCGCCACCGCAGTCAACGTCATCTTCGCCGCCGGCGAATGATTTCCGGATCCCCCAGGGTACTCTTCCTTTACAGTGAAGAAACGATTCATTTCTTCCTCTCTCTCTCTCTCTCTCTCTCTCTGTTTTCTATCGATTCCGGTCCTCGGTGAAAATTCCCAATCACTAGTCCTCCGGAATCTAAGTCTGTGAGACGCGATGAAATGCCGAGAGGAGGAGGAAGAAGAAGAAGAAGAAGCGGGAGAAAAGCAGCGGCCGGCAATCCTTACACATAGGAGAAATTCGGGAGGTGTAGTAAGTCAATTAGGTCGCAGCGTTGCTCTGTTTAGGACCGTGGGGGAGCTAGCGATGGAAAATGCTGGGCTGGTCTGGTCTTAGTGTGGAGTCCGAAGGGGAAGAAATGGGGATTGGACTCCTTATATAGAGGGACGCCGACGAGCTGGGTGGATGATGAAGAAGAAGAGAAGAGTGGTCTAATTTACAAAAAAACCGCTCCGAAACTTCTAGATCTCTCATATACATGGGGTAGAAGCTTGGAATTTTTTTTCTTCTTTCTTTTCTTCAATTTGTGTATTTTTTTTTTTTGTGGCAAGAAAGTCAGACCTCTGTATATTTTTATATCTTGTGCACTTCGCTGCCTAAACTTTATGTTAGGTCAAACAGGTACATAAAAACTATATAGTTGGTTTCAGGTCATATGTTGGATTGAAAGATTGTAAAATTGCATAGGATGTTGTACATAAAAAGTTAATGATAAAATATTATATTGAAATTGTAGTTATATTTAAAAATTATCTGACTCTAATCTAACAACCGATATAGTTTCACAAACACCAATTATATTACCTTTTTTATACCTAAAGTTAATAGTCATATAAACCTAGTTATGTGCCTATGCTTTTTACCGTCCACGCACTTCTGTTATTCTGCATTGAACAACTATAAACATGGAACAAATACTCAAATAGGTAAAAAGAGAATAATAATGTGATTTTTATGAGTCATTTGGATCAAATGACTTGTTTGCAAAAAAATATTTATGTGACATTTCGTTCGTGTATAAAGTCCCAAATGTTTTCATTGCGTATTTGAGTTATTTTCAAATTTCTCCCTAGTCTTTTTCAAAGGACTCATTATTTAGAACAAAATTTTAACTTTATCTTTCCCTTTTTTTTAAACCCACTTCTATCCTTCCCTTTTATTATTCATTTTTCATGTCATTGTTTCGTCTCTTGCCATAATTTTTTTTTCTTTCCATCAAATTTCACTAGCGAAGAAGTGTGTCATATCCATCTCATGGTCTCCATCAGGCTGTCTTCACTCAAACTCCTCGTGTCACCGTAGCTGTCGCCTTCAAGAATTAGTCGCAACTCTCTCCATTCTCGGTGTTAGCAATTGGCGCACACCAACACATATCGACACGTCACTCTCGACGGTCATTTTGTTTACATGGTTGGTTTTATTAGGATATTTTACAAAATAATAAAACATATTAAATGTAAGGATAATATTACCACACCTAAAAGTTTTTAAACAAACAATGTATTTGTAACTATCTACACTCTCAAATGTCTATATTTTTTTTCAAATATTTACATTTGATCGTATGACTCATTTTACATAGTCGTGGTAAATTATTTTGAAAGTTCTTTTTTCTACAAAACTTATATAAATCAAGATTTCGAAAAATAGCCATTTTTATACGAAATTTACTATGTAAGTACCATGGGTACCGGATATTAAGATGATTAAGGATCAAATTGGTCTTATGGTTTTTATTATGCAAGTATGTTGGTATTTGGAAAAATCCAAGCAGGCTTTCTTCATTTGGGAGGTAAGAGAGATGGAGAGAGAGGATTGTGGTCCATTTTGGGGAGGAGCGGAAACTTCTGGAAAATACGCCTCCTCCTCCTGCCTATTGGATGGAAGGATCAAAAGATGGAATGGCAAAGCATGGGATGGCACTGTGATTAGGGGTGAACAAACACACCCGCAAACCGACCCACCCGTCCAATCCGACCCAACCCACCCGTATTTATCGTTAAAACGAAGGTTTTGGGTTGGGTGACGATTTTCTTTTGTGCAACCCGCCTCTTTTGGGTTGGGTTTGGATTTTGGATTACACAACCCGTAGAACCCGACCCAACCCGTGTTCCAACTATTAGTATGAGTTCGTATCTAAAAAATATTTATGTCGTATATAGCCATACTTATGTGAAAATTAAGATATTTCGCCATGTTTTTCTATCATGGTCTCCCTAATCTAATGCATTCTTCGACTTAAAGTTTAGACATAAATTGAATATAATTATGATTCACGTAATCATTTTTGTTGTATACAATTTTAATAGAATAACATATTATGGATGCATTTTGTTTATAACCTTTTTAGCCTATTTCAACAAATATCGTGAAAAACACTAGGCATATGTTGAAGTAAATCTCATTTTATTAAAACTCAAACAACATTTGTGAATTTTGATACATTTCACATCGGTTTATTTGTTTGAAATTTTAATTAGTTATAAAATATTTTTATGGTGTATAATAATTATATATTTTATGTTGGGTTTGGGTTTTTACTTAAAAATATCGCCAACCCGACCCAACCCAATTAGAAACAAACCGTAGGGTTTAAATTTTTTTGGGTGGGTTTGGGTTTGACAATTCCCAAACCGTAGTGTATAGGTCGGGTGATTAAAATACTTAAACCCGAACCAACCGACCCATGTACACCCCTAACTGTGATGGGGGGTGGGGGTGGCATTGTTTGTTTTTATTATTTTATGGCTTTTGTTTGCTTCTCTTTAATAACATGGTATTTGTCGCCTACGAATCTGATGTGATAATATATATAATAGAATTTTTGGTTTATTTATTTATGAGGGTGGGTTGGGGCGGATCTTTACAGAGAAGGATAGTGGTGGGTATTGATTTGAGAAGGGGGATTATTTCCTCAACTCCGATTGGCTGAATTGTTTAAAAGGGTCGACCAGTGACCCTCGGTGGATGCTCCCTTTTCTTTAAATGTGGGGTTTCTTCCCCCCAAAATGTTGTCTTTATGAAGATAATTATTCAAAATAATGTTTTCCGTAAACTATTTCCCCAATATATGCTTGTTTTAACTTTTAAGGTTAATTGGCGTTTGTACGAATTGGTGAATGGTGATGAACAAAAATAAAAATAACTTAGGGTGCGGATTATCCGATTGGCGCGTTGTTCGACCTCGATCTTAGTAAAGGAATTCGTGGTTATTGCTAGTATTAATCCAGAGGGAAAACTCGTGATTAATCATTGGTGTTCTTATAAGTATGATCGGAAATTACATTTGTTTGTTCTTTGATCACAAATATCATAAATTGTTACCTTACTGAGGAATTACATGCTATCTGTGATATATTGTGCTTAAGAATAAATGTATGAGATACGATAATTCATGCATATCTGTGATACATTGTGCTTAAGAATAAATGTATGAGATACGATAGTTCAAGCCTAGGAATGACGTGCAAGGCCGAGGGTAGTCGTTGGAGAAGCCCGGTGGACCGGGCCCAAACAGAATTTGAGGGGTTCTGACACATAACAAGAATGTACATACTAACAGTGGTCCCGAAAGGGAGGCGCCTACGACCTGTCAAAAGTCTGACAAGTTGGTCGGGGCGCCTGACATAAACAAAGTACGATGCATTTAATGGCGTGATGACGTGGAGCAGAGAGGTAAAAGCATGATCTCAGGTTGTGTAAGTATAAATAGTGCTGGTATGTAACATTTATGGGGATCTTTTTCTCTCACACTAGAAGCAAGGGGGGACTACTTCTCTCTCTAAAAGACATCTTTGCTAACTTGAGCATCGGAGGATTCACGGGCCCGATGCCCACCTCTTTGTGTGTTGTGCAGTTAAGGCGCCCGAGTGCAGGGACAAAGTGACGTGGCACGGAGTTTGGGTCCTTTCGGCTCAAACAAGTACCACTAATTCCATCCATGACACTCTTTTTATCGATTTTCTTCTACCAAACAAGAAAGCTATAATTGAACAAAAGATCACACGAACACACGAAAAAACCTGGATCCCAAACAGACTCATTACAACCATGACGATGTAGACCCTATGCCTCTATATTCGTCAAGCCCTTCGCAAACCCAAAGCCTAGCCCTCTACCACTATCTTGTTATACAAAGTTAAGAAACCTCAAGGAATGAGACACTATATATATATAGAGAGGCCTAGCTAGTCGTTGCCTGGAAAATTGACGTTGGAGAAGAGCGGGATAACGGGAGCGACTTTAATTATATGAAAAACTTTCCTTGAATGCAGCAATCTACTGATTGCGCCCAACATTTCCTATTATCCCCTTTTAATATGTTCTTTGTCAATTGTTTGTTGTTTCTTTGAAAGGATTTCTATGGAACGTCTAGAACAAAACCAATTTTAGACATAAGTTGTTGACCTGGAGTAAGGCTGAAACTAAGGCCCGTAGGGAATACGATCTCAGAAGGTTTCATCTTGTTAGTTTATCTTATTAGGAGTTTCATTTCCTAACTTGAGTGGGCTAGCAAATTCACAACACATATATTATATATTTTGTTTTGATGAGCTAACTATAAATGGTCAATACATGGTGCCCATAATTACTCAAACCCAATATGGGTCCAACGGGTGGAAACTCAATACTTGTTCAACTTGGGTTTTATGGGAGCCCATGGTGACTAGCATATAAAGAAGTTTGAGGTTGTGGTCCCCAACACACCAAGACCAACATTTTCTCATCTTCTCCCCGTTAGGAAGATGAGAGCTCTCCCGTATTGGAACTAAGGAGGCTTGGTAGAGGAAGGCTACAAAACCTCCCGGATCGTGCTCCCAGAAGTATCGTCCGGTTGCAGATCGTCTTATGTTTTTCGCATCAAGATCCAGACGATCAACTAACACGAATCCAAGTATTCCTATTAATCTTTGATAATATGATAACATGAATTTCCGCGGGGTTACATATGTTAAAAGTAATTCTATCATATCTTTGAACCATTATCTATAGCATATCAATATCTCTTTTTATTTGAGTACTGATCAACATATATACATATTAATGCATT